ATCTATTAGTGCTATTTTGGTTCTCAGGAGATAAGTATCAGTATTTTACCATTAAGTGTGATGCTCTGTGTAGACAATTTGTAGATTAAGATTATCAAATTAAGTTCTCTCCTTTTCCTAGTTTGTTGATAGTGTATATATTTCATCATATGCCTTTTCTGCATCTGTTGAAGTGATCATGGTTTTCCTCCGTTATGGTGTTAATGTGATTAATTATATTGACTTTTGAATGTTAAATGTACCTTGCATTACTGGAGGAAACCTCCTTTGGTTGGGCCATATCATGTTTTTTATATATGACTTGATTTAATTTGCTAACATTTTGTTAGGAATTTTTTTTGGGGGGGGTTGTCACTGGCCAGTACAGGGATCTGAACCCTTGACCTTCGTGTTATAACACTACAATCTAACCACCTGAACTAACTGGCCAGCCCTTTGTTAGGAATTTTGATTCTTTGTTGCAGCAGTTATGTGCCTGTAATTCTCATGGTATGTCCTTGTCAGGTATGGGATTAGGGGGTCTGCTGGGCTTATTAAATGAGTTGAGGAATTTGCACTCTTTCTATATTCTCTGAAAGAATTTGTGTAAGATCATTTTATTCATTTGGAAGAATTTACCAGTGAAGCCATCTAGACCTTGAGTTTCCTTTGAGGGAAGGTTTTAAATTGTGGGGTCAATTTCTTTACCGATTACAAGATTAATTCAGATTTAGTTTCTTTTTGCATCACTTTGGGTACATTGTTTTTCAAGTAATATAGCTATTTTGTCTAAGTTCTCAAATATTATTATCTTTTTGGCCTGGCCAGTTAGCTCAGTTGACTAGAGCATGGTGTTATAACACCGAGGTTAAGGGTTTGGATCTGTGTATTGGCCAGCCCCCCCCCCCCAAATATATATATATATATATAACTTTAAAATACTAAAATATTATAGAAAATAAAATCTGCACCTGGGAAAATACAGAGAGTTCAAACAAAGTCTTTCAATAAATACCTCCCCAAGTTACTGGGTTTTTTTTTTGTTTTTTTTTTTCCTTTTTGTCTCTTTTCGTGACCGGC